TTTCAAGAGGCACGAGATGGTTATTCTCGATCGTTATTTTTAATCCAGCATTGGCGCACAGTGGGAATCCGACATTTGACTAAAAAATCAACTTTCTCATTTTGATATTCTTCTTTTAATACATATATATCGATTCCTAAGTGTTCACCAAGCTAGAAAATGAAAAAAATTAATAAAAAATAATAATAATTTTAGTTAGTTAATAACGGATACACGTCATTTTGGACATTTTAAAACTCTCGATTCTCATCAAATAAACAAGTTGATTAGCAAAACAACTGGCCAGGACGCTTCTATAACAACAGTTGGCGAGCGTATTTTTGCGCGTCGTTCCTCGTTGTCGCGTAACTGGAGAACGTGAAACGCGTTCGCGTGCCAACCAATTGCCCTTGTTTTCATTAACAGAAGCAATCGACCCGCGAGTATTTCTGTTGCGAGGAAACAGGACCCTAACTGATGGATTTATTTTCCAGACTAGCGCACACGCGCGAGAGAGAGAGAGAGAAAGAGAGAGCGTGATTATAAGCTACAGCCGCCAACCAGTTGTTATTTTCAATTTCGTTCATTTGTTGGTCGTTAAGCGCCATCTATTAATCAACGTCTCCGCGGCGCGCGGTGTTTGCGTTTCTTCCACGTTCTCTCTCTCTCTCTGTTTGGACGAATTCTGATCGCCTCTGTTCCCCACAATTTGCATAGTCGGTCACACAGAGTCGAAGAATCGCGCGACCGTTCGAACAAAGTCCGCTGACCTCTGACACGGGGACGAGGGAATATCTTTAATTCTCCACGGATCGGACTTAATGTCGCGGAAACGCGGGAAACGCGTTATCCTATCGCGCGGAGGACGCGAGGCTACGAATCTTTCGCTTGGCAGTGAATCTTCTCGCACAACCGCGATAAATTATTTTCCAACCTTTCGCAGCCGGGAGGGATTGTAATCTCGTGGCTTATCGAAGCCCCGCGAGAATTTGTTGTTTCGTTTCACCGGAGCTGACGATGGCTCGAAAATTTTCTCTCGCTTTCGTTTTTCTTCTTTTGGCTGAAAGCACCGCACGAGTTTCACTCTGTTGATACGCAACGACGTATGTTGTATAACGTATACGCTTACTCGTACTGTCGAGTTTGACTGCTATGGACATTTAGTAATTTCTACTTCGCGAGAAATTGTAGAAATTCAGATTGAAAGGAAACGATTCTCTACATCATGAACTATACCGTTCCTGTACATTGGTTGAAAATTCTACCGTTTCTAATGAACGGCCGCCCGCGTGTTTTGTTAGAAAGAGCTAGTTCGATCTAGCGAATCGGAATTCAAATGACAAGCTCTCAATTTAATTATATACTTAATGCCAACTGTTTTTAGAAGATACTAAACATAACTGGCTCGCGAGTCTTGACCTACGCGATGCTTCTGAGCCTTGATCTAGTAAACATTAAAGGGAAACATTTAAAAAAAATGTCCAACGGAAATATAAACTAGGGATGGCTAACTCTTTCACTTGTTTCGTTGGGAAATCAACAGATTGAGAGAGTGGGGTTCGTGCACAGCGAGGAGTGGGGATATCGATGTAGTGGAGGGGGCAAGCAGGCCGCCAGTTAGCCAGCTTTGATCTAACCAATCATGTTCAAAGTGGGTCGTTTGATCTAAAAAAATATCGATGCCAACCGTTGTTTAGATGACAACAAATATAATAAGCTCGCGAGTCAGCGATCGTTTTGACCTGCGTTATGCTTCTGAGCACACATTAAACGGAAACGTTCAAAGGAATGTCCAACGGATATATAATAAACCAAAACACGATTCAGAATGCAAGAATGTTTCAATACTCTTGGAAAGGGAAATGGCAATCGTGGAGCACGAGCAGGAGGATCTGCCAATTTATTAAAAGGCGTAATATCGACGCTTACCTCCTGGAAAAACGATTCAGCAGTTTGCCAAGGCTGCGAAAGTAACGGGGCGCTGTAACGTAAACGTAGACCAGCTGATCCTCGTAGCCGTGAGCGGCGCCACGATCCCGGTTGCGGCTGTGATTGTAAAGATCGGCAGTGGCAGCGCCTAGAGTGGCGTTCAGCAGCGTCCCCCACCTTATCTAACCGAGGAACCAAGCAAATCATTTTTTCCCCTTCCGCGGAAATGTCCGTCAACGCGGATGCGTCAACGTCTACTCACATAACCGAAACTCTCCTGGAGGTAGGACATGTTGAAAGGGACGTACACCCTCTGATCGACGTCCACCCAGTTGTACAGGTCCTTGTGCTTCGGATAGATCTGCAGGATCGAGGCGATAAACGTTATTGAACCATTTGATGCCAACGTGACAACGTTGTCAAATTCGACAACAATGGAATAAGGGATGAAACGGTCTTATGTATGATAAATTACAAAGGGATCAGCGGATCAGCGTTTCCAAGGATATTTCTGACGAGGGTGGCGTTGAATATTGGGGTCGCAAAGAATATTCGTTCGGTGCATTCACCTTGCTGAGAGACAGACAGAATTGCAGCAGCAGATCGGTCTCCGACGCGCGGTCCTTCGGGTCCATCGTCCTCGGCAGCAGGCCCTCGACGATTCTCTGAATCCTCCGTGACCTCTGCTCTTCCATCTTGTTCTGAAAGCAAACAGCCACCCACAGTGAGACCCGTGTGTGTGTATGTGCGTGTGTTTAGTCGGTCATGCGTGTAAAACCTATTCACCGAGACTTACACCGGTGAGGAACAGAGGATTCGATGAAAAGGATCGGTGATACTTGCTATCGCCACCGGTCGTCGGAGGATCGGGATTGATGATCGCGAAAAAGAAAGGGAAAGGGTGAGGAGATGGCCTATGGAGTCATCATCCGTTACCGCGAAGGAAGATCGATCGTTTCGACGTTTTCGTGGAAAGCACCGAAGAAGGCACTTCGAAGAAAGACGAACCTCGAAAAGAAAGAAAATCTCAAGCGAAAATCGAAATGGAAATCGCGATTGTCTTCGAAGAATCCGTGAATCCCGGGAATTTCTTGTTGCACTCGGTGTCACGATAACGGCGATCGAACATTTTGCACGCGGCTTCCTCGCGCGAGGAGGAGGAGGAGGAGGCCGCGATTACTCGAGCGTAAATAATTTCGCGGGAGATCGATGAGTGCTTGCGGTGGTGGATCGGAGGAATCGCGACGACGCACGGGACGAAAAAAAAAAAAGGGAAATCGATCGAACGCCGTGCCGATAAGCGCCTGGAGGATGGAAGTTCGGTGGTACTATCTTTGGCACACTTTCCGCCGGAACTTTTTCGCGAGAGCCTTTAGAGAGAGGCTCTAGCCCGTGGGAATTCGCTCCGGATGAACTTCTCCAAATGTTCGTGTATGCAGCGTAACGACACCGACTATCGAGCAGCTTCTCTCTCTCTCTCTCTCTTTCTCCTTCTGCGAGCAAGTTTCACGCATTCCCTCGAGAACGGAAACACTGCTCGCCAGAGTGCTTCCGGTACTCTCCATCCGGTCATTCGCGCCGTCGTCGACACTTTCGTCGGAGTGGTTTTGCACAGCGTCTTCAAGACGATTTGCGAATCATCTCTTTCTGAATCTGGCCTCTGACCAACTCGATTCTCTTCCGATACGATGCTAGCCAGAATATTTCAAAGGTCTCGCCACTATGCGAATGTGGAAATCCACCGCGATGATGGTCGTGTCTTTGTCGCATCGTCACTCGCTAAATATTATATAATATTTTATTGACTATTATACTGACTGTCGCGGCGCTTCTTTCTTTTTTTTTCTCTCTCTCTCTCTTCTGGTGTTTGTTGCAGTGCTGTTGCAGTCCTGCCCTATTACCTGCATTTAAATGACTTTTTGTTGGCTATTTATTTGTTTCTTTTATCTTGCGCTATTACCTGCATTTAAATGAGCCATTTAGGCTGTTTATTTTGGTTGGTGTATAAGTGTTGCACTATGAAAAACTACTGCAAATGTGTTTTTGGTAGCCTTCTATCTTGATTTTTAGCGGTTATCTCTTCGACGTTGTAATTGCCTGTGCTCCATGTTAGTCATTGTTGTTGTATGAGCGTCTGAATTTTTGTGTAAATTAGTTAATTGTCGGTATATTTGCTATTTTGTGTAGTGTAGCTGTCGGAGTGTCATGTTGTTTATTTAATATGATTCTAAGAAACTTGTTTTGTGTTTTTTTTTTTT